AGGAACTCATGCAACCTCACAAAAGGAAGACAATTAAAAAATGGGCAAAGGACCTAAATAGACACTTCTCCAAAGAGGACATACAGATGGTTAAGAGACATGAAAAAATGTTCAATGTCACTAATTATCAGAGAGATGCAAATTAAAACCACAATGAAGTATCACTTCACACCTGTCAGAATGGCTACCATCAACAAATCAATGAACTACAAGTGCTGGCGAGGGTGTGGAAGAGAAGGGAACCCTGGTACACTGCTGGTGGGAATGCAGACTGGTGCCGCCACTATGGAAAGCAGTATGGAGGTTCCTCAAAACATTAAAAATTGGCCTGCCATTTGACCCAGTGATGTCACTTCTAGGAATATATCATAAGAAACCCAAAACACCAATCACAATGCATCTCTGTGTTCATAGCAGAGCAATTTACAATAGCTAAGATCTGGAAACAGCCTAAGTGCCCATCAGTAGATGAGTGGATAAAAAAGCTGTGGCACATTTACACCATGGAATTGTACATATTTACACCATGTAAACTTACACATTTACACCATGCAGCTGTAAAATGAAGGATCTTTTATCCTTTTTATCTTTTATCCTTAGCATGGAGGGAACTAGAAAGTATTATGCTAAGTGAAATAAACCAGCCAGACAAAGACAAATACCACATGATCTCACTTATATGTGGAATATAATAAACAAAATAAACTGATGAACAAAATGGATCCAGAGACATAGAAGCATGAAGCATGGAACAGACTGAGGGATCTCAGGGGGAAGGAGGGGGGAGTGAGAGGGGAGAGATTAATCAAAGAAGTTATATGTTTATAAGCGTAACCCATGGACACAGCCACTGGTCTGGGGAAGGCCTGGGGGTGGGGTGGATGTGGGGTACAGGGGATCAATGGGGGTAAAAATGGGACATTTGTAATACTTTCAACAATAAAGAATCTTAAAAAAAATGGAACTGCTGTTTGGCCCAGCAATCCCACTTCTGGGAATATATCCCAAAAACCCCAAAATACCAATCAGAAAGAATATATGCACCCATTTTCATAGCATTATTTGCAATAGCTAAGTTCTGGAAAGAGCCCAAGTGCCCCTCAGTAGATGAGTGGATAAAAAAGCTGTGTTACACTTACACAATAGAATACTATGTGGCTGTAAAAGGAGCTCTTACCCTACGAGACAGCCTGGATAGACCTAGAGATTATTATGCTAAATGAAATAATCCAGTCAGAGAAAGACAAATATCACATAATCTCACTTATATGTGGAACCTAGTGAACAAAATAAACTGAGGAACAAAGTAAATTCAGAGATGTGGATGTGTGGAACAGAATAACAGATCTCAGTTGGGGTCAGAGGGGTGGAAGGGATCAGAAAAGATTAACCAAAGAACAGATATGTATATATGCATAAGCCATGGACACAGACCATAGTATAGAGAAGGCCTGGGGTGGGGCCAGGGTTTGGTGGAGGGGGGCAAAAAGGGGAAAAATTGGAGGTCATTTGTAATACTCTAACAATAAAAAAAGAATATAAAAAAAATGTACACTTGAAACCCATATAATCTTATTAACCAGTGTCACACCAATAAATTTAATTTAAAACAAAGAAAAGCTATTTTGAAACAAACCCTGAAAAAAATGCAACAATTTAAATGAATACTATCCATCTATATACAGACTTGAACATTTTTGTAATACAATTTTATGTGTAAAAGGTAATGAGCAGGATAATTTGTACACTTATAATTGATGGTGTGAGGGCACAGTGAAGATAGGGAATATATAAACTGGTATCACTTTAACCAAGCTGCTAAAATTGTTAATATTGTAATGTTTGAGGAATGAAGAAAGATTCTATTCTTGGCCTAACTAGCCTGGGAACTTAAACTGTTTGAACTTTCCAGTCCTGTGTCAATGCCTAGTCATACATCTGGACCTCCAGGTAACCCTTTCATTATCCCCTGCAGCGCTCACATGTACATCTGCCTGACTTCCATTATCAAGACCACCCGGTGTGACCAGACCTCCTGGCACCCATCATGAATAATAACCATCCTGAACCAATCCTAGGGCTATGAATGCAGGACTAATAATCCACAAGAATGTACTGTTTTCTATAAAAACTTTTAACTTTTCTCTCTTCTTTGGACACTTCTGAGTTTTGGCCTAGCTGTATTTTCATTTGCAAATTCTAAGACCCTTGAATAAATCTCTATCATTTATCTCTGGCAAAGCCTCCAGACTCTTTTTGAGTTCATGTGACACATGTAAAAATTACTTATAGCTATATGTATATGCAAATGTATATAGAAAGGACTAGAGGGATACATACCTTTAACTTCATTGAATAGTGTCCCCCTCCCCCAAATTCATATCCACCTGGAATTTCAGAATGTGAACTTATTTGGAAATAGGGTCTTTGCAGAGCTAATTAACCAAGTGAAACAGAGGTCATATTGGATTAGGGTGGGCCCTAAATCCAATGGCTTGTGTCCTTATACGAAAGCCATGTGCAGACACTCAGGGAAGAAGACCACATGAAGATGAAGGGGGAGACAAGAATGGGTAGGATATCAAGGATTGCAGGCATCACCAGAAGCTAGGAGGCAAAAGACAGATTCTCCTTCAGGGCCTCTGGTAACAACCAATGCTGCTGACTCCTCGATTTCAGATTTCTAGCATCCTGAACTGTAAGAGAATAAATTTCTGTTGTTTTAAGCCATCCATTTTGTGATAATTTGTTACGACATCTCTAGAAAACTAACACACCTGTTTAACAATGGTTAGCTCTAAGGAAGAGATTCTATATATTTCTATATTGTTCGAATATTTTACAATGAAAATTTATTCTTTTATGGCTTTTTTTCAAAAAAAATAAATTAATAAAGAAGTTACCACCCCGCCAGAGTGGTTCAGCGGTTGAGTGTTGACCTATGATCCAGGAGATCAAGGTTTGATTCTCGATTGAGGCACATGCCTGGGTTGCCTGCTCCATCCCCAGCAGGGGGCATGCAGGAGGCAGCCAATCAGTGACTCTCTCTTATCATTGATGTTTCTTTCTCTCTCTCCTTCTCCCTCCTCTCTCTGAAATAAATAAAAATATATTTTTTTAAAAAAGAAGTTACCTACATTTTATGTTGGAATTTTCAGCTCTGCCACTTATCAAGTATGAAATCTTGAACAAGTCACTAACTATATGAGGGTCTCAATTGCTGTTACCAGAAAGGGGACCTGGGCCTTGGCAGGTCTGCCTAGGTCCAGCCGGTGGTGTGTGGGTTCTTGACTTCGTGCAGGAAAAATTCCACAGCACAAGTCCAGATGACTATGAGGGAACATGTTAAAAATAGGGGCAGTAAAACAAGAAAGGGCTTAGCATAGAAGTAACAGCGGAGCCTAGGCTGGGCTGCCCTGGGTCTCTGGGAAGTCAGACAAAAGGAGGCCTTCGGAACAGGTTCAGGGGATTAGTCTGCAATAAGTTGCCTCTGCCCATTGCTGCCCTGGTTGCAAGTCTCATGGGGTCCCTTAGAGTTTAGGAGATACAGGCCTGTGGGGAAGAGGGGAAAGGGAATGGGAGGGGCACACTGAGTCCTCTGTCTTGTGGCTTTTATTTCTCTCTTGAAGGCAGGAATCTTAAAGGAGGTCACAGGAAGGTGTCTCAATACAATATTCATCAGCTTTCCAGGTGTGCTCTTTCAGGGTCATGGTCTCCGACTGGTCCGTGCCAAGGCAGAGGGTTGTTAGTCAATGTATCTGGTCCTGAGGCAGCCTTGGCCCCACTTGTCTGGTTTCACTGCTTGCCTGGGCCTGGAGGTGAAATACAACTGAGGCCTAGATGTTATCTTTAGGGAGGAAATGGTCAGGGGTCTAAACTGCATGACCGGAGATATGCTAGGGGGGATAGGTTACCCTGGGGGCAAGGTTCTTATTTTCCCAGTTTTGCCCCTCGCTCTCAGCATCTGGCCCATCTAACACAAACCACTTACTCTCAAGTTGTTGCAGAACTGGAGACGTTCACCTTACAGAAAGACCAAGCAGCACTCAGAGGCTCGAGATTCAGGAGGTTTATTTTACGCTGGCAGGCCCAGAGAAGTCCAACTCCAAAGCCTGAGCCCCGAGCGCAATTGGGCAAGGAGTTATATACCGTACATGCTTCCACCTACGTGGCAGCTATACCTTGCTAGGGCAGGGAAAAGCCCTTTCTGGTTTGGCACGCGCGGAAACATAGCAGGATGGCAATAGGGGAAGCCCCGGCGGGGAAGGGGGGGAATCGGCCATTTTAGACCTTGTTTTCCCTTATCAAAGTGTCCTTGATTTAGGGAAGATAGGATTTACTAGGTGGCTGCAAACCGCTGTCTCAGTTTCCCTGTTCCACTTGTTCTGGCTTACTGGCCTGTCTCATTGCTTCATCTGTAAAATGGAGATGTTAACATTCACCTTGTTCACTTCCCAAGTTGGTATTAGAGTCTCCCTGGACCCTTCTTCTCTCACTATCCACATCCTTTCTTCCTCAATGGCTCTAGTGACTGTAAATGCCTTACAGTTCACCCTACCATCCCTAGGGGCCTCTAATCCATGTCTCCAGCCCCCAGCAGATTCATTTTACCAAAATACTACTACATGTTCCTCTCCTTGTGAAGTCCTTCAAAGTTTCTAATTACCAATTAAACTAAATCCAAACTTCTTAGTTCAGTTCAAGACCCTCTACATTCAGAACCTTACCTACTTGCCATCATTATCACTCACCACTTGCTTCCTTGGTTTGAAACAAGGTTCATAGAAAATCTCTGAACGTGAGTCTTGCCTTTTTCAACCATGCCATGGAGTATGTTCTTCCCTGTAAGTGCATTGTCCTCCATCCTAAGCCCTTTTCTAGCCTGAAGTCTCCTCCCATGGTTCCACAATGGAAGTGATTTTTCTTTCCTTTGAATTCCTACAGAACAAAACCTCAGTATCTTTTGTATTTTAATTATTACCCATTAAACTGCAAACGCCTTTGAGAGAAAAAAAGTTTATTCATTATTGTGCCTAGCATGCAATCTTATAGAGAGTGATCAGCACATATTTGAATAACAAGTATAAAACACCCGAGTTTTATGAAATTAACATGGGTTTTAAGAATACATTTAAAAGGTATAAACAGAAATTATACTCAGCCAATACATACCAGTACAGTCACACTAGTTGTAAAATATTTAAATGCTTCCCTACCATTGCCTCTTGCCACCTGAAAGCTTCCCACTACCACTGCTAGCCAGCTCTCTCCTTTCCTGAAAGCATCTGGACTCCCACAAGCTCTCAACTAAAAGATTAATGTCTTGCACAGCAGGGAACACACAAGACACTGCTCCAACCATGTGGCCAGAGTCCACTGGTGGAAACATCCATTCTGACTGATCAAGACCTGTAGAGTATCACTGTTAAAAATTTTGATAATCACCCCTGATTACAAATAAAGTTTAATTATACAATTTGAAAACAGTGCTTCTCTTCATTGTAAAATCTCTTAAAAGAGCAGATTCAGGAATAGACAAGGAAAATGATTCTTGGTCAGTCTTTGAAGATTTAGGGTACATCCATTAGGACTCAGTCTTCATGTAAACCAGAAGATAGGCAGTTTCCCGCCTAGAAAGAAAAAAAAATGCAACATCATAAAAGAAATGAAACATTCATAGTTAACCGATACATTATTAACTCACCACAGGAAAATCAGCAAACTTTCCAGGTTGTTGGATAAAGTGTTCATCTATCCATCACACCAGAGGAAAACAAAATGTGTGACCTGGGTAAATAACCACTAAACTGCAGTTAGGTAACATCTAAATCAGGGGTTGACACACTAGGAACCCACACGTCAAATCTGACCCTGTATCTGCAAATAAATTTAATTGGAACACAGCCACGCTTTCATTCATTCATGAGTCATCTGTGGCTGCTTTGGGCTACAAAGGTAGAGTTGAATAGTTGCACCAGAGACTGTGTGGTCCACAAAGCTTAAAATATTTTTTCTCTGGCCCTTTATAGAGAAAGCCTGCCCAACTGTGACCTAAATAATGGGGGAATAACTGACAACCAGAAAGTGACAAAGAGTGAGCATCCAAGGGAAGTGGTTATAAGAAAGAGAAGAGAAAAGGAACATTGGAGAAGGATTTCAAACACAAATTTCACTTCATGCATTATTTTTCAAATGATCTGGCCTACTTCTGCAGCTGAAGTCATCTCAAATATCGCCTTTGGTATACAATGTCAATCCTAACCCAGAAACTCAGCTGGGAAAACTTACAAAGTATCTAACTTAATTTACCCAACTTTTTTTTTCCAGCTTCCCCAATGTAGTTATTGATTTCTAAAAATACAGCTAATGATATTTACTAAATACAAGCTACTGCACCAGACAAAAAAGAGAAAATGAGTGATCCTTGCCCCGCAAGAGTTCATAGTCTAATGTGAAAGTTATGTAAGCAAACAATTACAAAACAGTGTGGCCCTTTCTATAAAGGAATTATGCTCAAAACACAGTGAAAACACCCGAGAAGCCCCTGGGTGAATCAGTGCAGGCTTTTAAAAAGTAGGAAAACGCCATGAGCAGAGGTACTGAACCATGGATAAGACTCTGCCTTGATGATAAGTTAAGAGAGGGTAATACTGGCCAGAAACTACATGTGCAAAGCCACGAAGAGCAAATGTAGGATATGATGTTTGGGGAGCTGCTTCCTCTTTAGTTATCGTTGGAGTCTAAATTGTGAGAAAATTATGGTGCAGTGGGATGGGTAGTGAAAAATGAAGCTGAACAGTTAGTTACTGACGAGTTATGCAAATATAAAGGTCAGTTGAATCCATGAGAGCATCACACATCAATAAGAACCCAGTGTAAGCTCATTGAATTTCCATCACTCATACACTTCTCTTACCAGCGGCAGTTATGATTTCCATAGGTACACCGGATGTCTTCCCAGGATACCTGGAAGTACATAACATGTAAAGTAAAGCATCCAGCTGACATCAGTGAAGCATCCAGAGTACAGTATAATACAATCTGCCCTCCCTCACTCCTCCAGATGAATCTACCCCTAGGAACTCCCAAGACCCACAGCATTAGTGATAAATGCCATGTACATGAAGTCTCTTTTAGTACCCTTGTCCCTCTTTAAATTTGGTTATGCTCAGCCAGCCCAGACTTCAACTTCTTATTTCTAACTCTTCTTGCTTCCCATAAGTTTCCCACAGATTTTGAAGCTGCAGGACACTGAGTTTAGAACACCAAAAACCTAGACACTGAGCTAAGTGGACTCAGAGAGCTATAAACCAGATGGGCACTTCATGCAGAAAACAGCTTTCAAGCTCATAAAAGGTCCCACACACAGAGAACAGGACCATAATGTGGCTTGCCTGACCTTGAGGACCCATCCAGCTCTGGGTTCAGAATATAGTAGAGGTAGCTAATATAGGGCAAGAAGCAATTTGGATGATGTTCCTCACCCAACAAACACTGGAGTCGTTGAAGCAGAACCATTTTCCATCTACAGAATTTCGGATATAGGCACAGTAATGACCGAAGTCAGCCAGCCCCACATGGGCAATCACAGCAAAGAGTTCATACTGTTCTCCAAGCTGAAAGAACACAAGGCATAAAATGATTCATCCATCATCCCTCCTCTTCTAACCCTCTTTTAGAATAAGGAAACATTTCATCACACATTTATTCATTGCTTACTCCGTGTCAGGCCCTGGTGCTCCAAGGGGACTAGAAAACATTCCTTGACTTCAAAAATTTCACAGCTTACTAAGCCAGAATTAGAATGCCATTGTTTATACCAGATGCATTTACAGGTAAATTCTGGAAAACACAACTTTTGCCCCAAAAAGGAAAAGGAACAACCAGCTGACGAAAAGCTGAGGAGCTAGGGGAAAAGTTCCCCAGAGAAGACATGCTTGAAATGATCTTGTAGACTGAACAAGATTGGTAGACAAGTTGTGGAAAGGGGGTATACCTAAATGTGGCCCCAGAAACTGTGAAGTTCTGCAGCATAACACTGCAGAGCGTACTAAGGAAAAGGAAGACAAGGAGGGTCCTAGGGAGCCACGAGAGATGAGGCTCCGAAGGCCAGATCAGGAATTAGAACTTTATCCCATGATGATTGGGAGTCAGCAGAAAGTTTTTAGCAGAGGAATATCATCAGATTTGTATTTGAGAAATACACTGAAATAATGTGGTTTGAAAATTGGATTCAGAGTTCATGTGAGGCAGAAACCAACAAGACACATTAGGGTATCACAACAGTGCAAGGAAGAAATGGTAATAACCTGAATAACTGCTATCAGTGGTGAGCACTAAAATGATAACCATTATTAACAAAATTATTATTAGCTAACTTAAGCACTCACTGTCCATTTGGCCAAGTCTTTACATGCATTCTTTCATTTAATAATATCCACGCAAACCTATAAGCAGGGTGCTAGTATAAATCTTACTTTACAGGGGTGAAATCTAAGCTCAGGGGGGTAAAGTAATTTACCCAAAGTTCAGAGCTTATATATAGAAGAGGCAGGATTTCAACTCAGGTCTGTCTGGCTTCAAAGCTCAAACTCAACTCCTACACTGAGGAAGTGAGAGTAGAGGTGGAGATGAGAAAACAGATTTGTGCAAAATTAAATGTACGTTATAACTGATTGGATGCAAAGGTGGGAAGTAAGCCAAAGGCACTATAAATTTGAATCCCAGATTTCTGGGTTAGAAATTAGTCTTCAGTTTGAGGTGATCATTGAAACTACAAGAATTAATAAGATGATATGTGAAAAATGGGGAGAAGAAAGGATGAAATTGAAACCAAATACCAACAAAAGGATGGGCAGAAAAGGATCCAGCAAAAGGGAAACCTAGGGTAGATCGGTTTTGAAGAAGAGTGGGATCAATAGCCTAGAATATCACAAAAAGATCAATTAAGAGTAAGACCAAGAAGTATCCATTAGATTTTACACAAAGTCATTCGACTTGCTCAATTCTTAGAAAGTCAAGATAAGAAATGATTCTCTGTGAAAAGGGAACAGTGGCAGGAGAGGCAGAGTTTTGATTGACTATGAACAGGATCTCCATGTTAGTCAGGAATATTCTATTTTCCCACACAGTCAAATAATGTTCCTAACCTGAGACTTAGAAACAGGAACAATGAAGCAGGACAAGGGTCAGGATAATGCAAATGAAGCTAAGTCACCCAAAAGGGAGGGCTCAAATTATTCTCTATTTTCATTTGGAGGCTTTATGCTGGATTTTTTTAAATGTAAGGCAATATCTAGATCTAACCATCTAATTTGCAAGAAATACAAGAGATAGAGGAACATGTAAAATCACACCAACAAGCCAATTTTGTATATCTATAAAAAAACCCTTCAACCAAATTAATTGCAAGGTAAAGGAGAAAAAACATAAAATGTGAAACTTAACCTAAAAGAAGAAAGAAAGGAAGGGAGGGAGGAAACAAACTTTAGCAAATGCAAGTGTAGACCTTGTTTTTATCTGGATTCAAACCAAACAAATTACAGGACAGTCATGGGAATCTGAATATTGTCTGGATGTTAGATGATATTAAGGAATTATGAGGTAGAATTGGCTATTTTAGAAAAAGAGTGCTTATTCTTTAGAGAGACATAGTGAAATACTAATGAAATGGGATTTACTTCAAAATAATACAGGAGACAGGGAAATAGGAGAATAGGGGTGTTGATAAAGCAAGACTGGACATGAGTTTTGGTAACAGTTTAAGCTGCTTGATGGACATGGGGATTCATAGCATAATTACTCACTACTTTAGTATATATTCAAAATTTTCCATAACAAAGTCATTTTTTGGTTGTTGTTGTTGTGTGTGTGTGAGAAAGAGTCTTTTTCTTTTTTTTGTTTTTGTGGTGTGGCAAGATTTATTCCAGTTGAAATAGAAGGCTACTTGTGGGTTTCCACTGTCCATCTCCCTCCATCCCACCATGGAAAAAATCCAATCTGGTCTTCATCAAGGCCAACACAAAGGCCAGTGTCCAGAGTTTCTGTTTCATATTAAAGCTTAGTCTTTTGAAGCCCACAAGGTCTGCCGTGGGCCCCAGATGGGGCTGTTAAACCCACGTGGTTGCTACAGTGAGAACGCAGGAAAGAATGGGTGAGCACAATGGGTGAGCACACACTGTTAAGGAAGAGAAAGAACTCATTGTTCTCTGGAGCTACTGCTTGGGAAGGACCAGGAGCTTTTTCAAAATAACCAGTCAACTTCAAGCTTTCCCTGCCTCCTGACCAATCCATTCTTTCTCCAGGCTAGACTGACAGGCTTCTATGGTCAAGCACCTCTCCTTGCACCATTTTGACTTCTACTGTCATGTGCTTACCTCCCCTTTCATTGTTCTATACCTTCCCCCAATGATCTCTGGGCAACAAAATTGTGGTTCCCTGGGGAGTGTCGTTTTTAAGTAGAAAAGTTTTAAGATATACTTCATTAAGTAGACTGTGCAAGTAAAAAGAAAGAAAACTAAGAGAAAAAATTAAAATCCTATAAAGTGTATATGCCCTGAATTGGTAAATAAACTATATTATAATAGATGCTATTCTAACATATTATCAGGCCTCAATATTTAAAATAGTAGAGCATGAATAGTAAACAGACTGATGGAACAAAACAGTTCAAAAATGGGTATATACAGCTAAATGTAGAATGTGCTAAATGTAGAATTTCAAATGTATGGAGAAAAAATATTTATGTCACTTTTTTCTCAGAATTTCCCAATAAGTTATTAGCTCAAGACAACTGAATTCAACTTTACTTTGATTAAGTTTGATCCAAAGTACTGGCTACATCCTTATTATTCTCAAAGTGAGCACAAGCTGTTTTAAGAAAACTTGGTAGGTATTATATTTAGAGCCCAAGATGTTGTGTTTACCTATATACATGTAAGTATTACACATCTTATTTAAAAGGAAGGTCCTGAATTATGGGTTCTTTCCCTCGGGTTCCTTGCTGAAGCATATGAGTACAAACCCAATATTTAGAAATTTAGTCTTTTGAATCTTAAAAGAAAAGCAGCTACAAAGAGCAAATGGTGGGGTGGTGGTGGTGATGGTGGCATTTTGATAACAATTCACCATTGTTGTTCAAGAACACACAGGTTTCCATCATTAAAATACTGTTTTAAAAAGTGTTTCTTACATATATAAAAATGTTTTTATGAATTACATCCAGCTGTTGGTGAGTTTTCCTCCCTTTTTGTATACCAAATATGGCCAGCAGAGGAGATAATTTCTGAGAGAATGACACAGATGAGACACCCAAAAATGCCATTTCTGATGAGTGTGTAACTTCAAACAGCTTAGGGGAGAGGGAAAAATTAAAAGGACACAGTGTCTAATGAGATGGCAGTTGACAGGAGGTGAGGAGCATGTCACCTGGTACTCAGCATTGCAGAGGTCCTTCTCAGTCAGAAGAAACTGATTTAAATCCAAATTCTGGGGGAAATAGAGTGAGTGGCAGATTTTTTCTGTCCGCAAATTCCTGATGGAAAACCGCATGAGGTGGATTGTCAAGGTCTGGGGCAAATGTGTCATCTTCAAGACCTACAAAAGCAAAATCACTGTGAAGATGAAATCCTAAAGCACTTGAAATGGGTAGATTCAGAGAAATACCACAATAAATAGTATATTAAGACAGAAGCAGATACGTAGCCCATGGATACAGATAACAGTGTGGTGAAGGCCAGGGGAAGGGTGGTGGGGGCTGGGTGGAAGCGGGAAAAGGGGAAGGGGGAGTAGGAACATCTGTAATAGTGTCAACAATTTTAAAGATAAATAAATAAATAAATAATAAATAAATAAATTAAATTAAAGTTAAATAAATCTCTTCTTCCATTCCCTTAAGCATACATTTGAGACACTTATTTCTCTATGAGTGTTGTTAAACAAAACAAAGAAACAGTTTAGATATACTACATTATCTCCTGCTAGTGGCACTGTCACCAATCCAACGTAGATAATTTAACAAGAAAAAAACACATTCATCATGTTAAAAACTTTAAATATGGACAAACTTAAAATACTAAATATTGTTATAGCATTTAATATGGGAAATTCCTAATTTACTACCAAGGTTTGTTTAGTTGTTATGACTGTGAAATGATAAAAAGAATTAAGGGTTTATAAGCAATCCTCTATTAGCCATCTATATGTACACTTCTAGTGAATAAAATGGTTTTCTGAAATGTAATTTTATGCCCCTTTAAAATACTAAAATATATGAGCTTGGGGGAAAAAAGAGGGGAGCAGACTGATACAATACAGAGTAGAGCCCCATTGGCTGTCTGTTGAGTTCTCCCGCAGAAGGCCTGAACAGACCAGGTTCTGCATGGGCCTTGGAATCCAGGGCAATAAAGGAGTCTGCTCTAAAGAGCTAGTCTAGCCTTAAGGAAAAAACTCTGTCCCTGCTCTTCGACCTTCTCTTCTTACCCAAAAAAGGTTCTGTCCCTCTAAGTGATGTGATCTGAGGAACCCTAGGATACATTGGCCAAGTCAGGAATCCCTCCCTCAACCACCATGAGGTGCCTTGGAAACTCTGTGAAGAGTCTCTCAGGAAGCCCTCTGGGGGCAACCCCAGACTGGGAAAGAATCTGGTTTCAGAGAGTGAGTACCTGTTTCCCACAGGTCTTCTTCCCACAGTTCTCACAGAAGCACTTGTTCAAAAACTCCCTGGGCTGGAAGAAGCAGTGAAGGGCATCCTCCTGTCCCAGGAGAACAAGAAAAAAAGCAGGGTTGGTATTTTCCATCTAGAGTACAGCCCTTCACCCTCCAGATGGGGATTTAAGCTTTTCTTCTAGTTATCGCCTTGTCCCCCTTAATGTCTGGCTCGGAGTGGTGCACAGGTGAGGATCTCAAAAAGCACCTACTGACCAGAGAAAAAAACAGAAGGGGACACTTGAAAGTGGAAATAGAAGGGAAAAATTATGTTTTGCCAAATCAAAGGAGAACTTTGGAAGAACCATGCAAAGGAAACAGAAATGACTTCTTAAAAGCCAGTGGTGAACTAAAGAAGCCCAGTTAGTGAAGTAACGAAGCAAGAAGATGAAGGGATTAAGCAAACACACACACACACACACATACACACACACACAGCAGTGGGCAAAAGTAGGCGGCTTACAGTTGTATGTGAAACACAGAGTTTATTTTTGTATTATTATTTATTATTGTATAAAATATTTTATATATATATATAAAACATAGATACAGATAACAGTGTAGTGATTGAGGGAAAGGTGATGGGGGTAGGTGGAGGTGGGCAAAAGGGAGAAAAAAGGGGAAGGAAGGAGACTTTGCTTGGGGTTATGGGTACATGATGCAGTGTGCAGATGATGTTTGAGTTGTACACTTGAAACCTGTATGGTTTTGTAAACCAATGTGACCCCAATAAATTCAATTTTTTAAAAAGAAGGAAGAGAAGCAAGGGGCATTGGCAATACTTGGTTGTGTAGGAACAGGGAATTCACCAAGAGAAATCCCTTACCAGTGTTCTCAGGGGCTTTGAGTCCATATCAAAAAGAGAAAGTGGGAGGGTCAGCATGCTATTGTTTCTGCTACTCTCTACCGTACATTCAAGGCAAATCAACGACTCCTTCATCTGAATCGTATACAGGTCCTTCAGTCTCTCCACCTACAAGACAGAGAAGGGGAGAGATAAGAAGGACACAGAGCCATAAATAAACTAGGTCAGGACAATTTCCACAAGTTGGAGCCACTAGAAAGAAGCTCCAGAAATGGCATCCACTAATGAATGCTCTTTACTCCACTCAAAAAGGTGGAAAATAATAATATTAATAATATTATGGAATTGTGATAAACATTTTATGGGATTTTCTCTTTTAATTCTCTCTGTATATTACATTAACAATTGCTGAATGAGTTAAATGAATAGCATCTTAAACTTCTGAGTTGTCTAGTTCTAGAATCTTACCAGGTCCACATCAGTGATTTGGCTCTTAATTAGGTTCCAGACTGTGAGGTAGAGTTGAGCAGCATCATGTTGGACAAACACTGGCCAAAGAGAAAAGAAATAGCCCAATCAGTGAGTCACCAAGGATACTTCTCATACTACCTAGACGCACATGAGCACTCACCACTTTGCATTTTCTTAGCCTTTGCCTCATTTTCAGGCTGTTTCCACCACATGTTAGGCGCTTGAAATGGAAAAAGGGTTGGTATTGATTTTTGAGAGCTCCTCTAAAACTTAAAATCCAAGTTTTCTGTCCTCTGATTTTCCACCCACACTCTAATTGGACTCCTATGGCCACCCATTTCTCCGTGCTTTTATTTTCTTTATTCTCTGTATTTTCTTTATTCACTCTCCTAAAAATTGAGCAGTTTCCCAGTACTCATATCTGACCCAGGTCTTCCCCAATAGTGTCTATGAAAACAAGAGAAAGGACCATTGCAGTGATAGATGATGCTCGCTAAGAGGAGGCAAGACTGACGCAGTGAATTCTATATGTGTTATATAAGTAGACATAAAGCTAAAATGGTTATGTACAGTTCTCCTAAGAAAGAAACTTAGGAAGACAAAGAAATGAAAACACACCGAGGACTATCTTACAAAAGGACATATATCTGCCAAAATACAAAAACTTTGCAAGAAAAGGTCATTATTGTAAGTGTACTAAATATTCATATCTGCTATCTCAACATCATTTTATTTCCTTCATGATACTTATCACAATTTGTACTTAATGTTTGGGGTTTTTGTTGTTGTTGTTGTTTTATTTTTGTTTTGGCCTGTCTCTCTTCTAAACTATAAACTCCATGGAGGCAAAGACTCTATTACTCTTATTACCTTATCTACAGCACCAATACAATACCTTGCACATAATAGGTAACTATTATATATTAGTTGAATGGATTAATCCATCCATATTCTAAGATAATAATCCCAAAACTTAAAGACATACAGTAGGGTTGCACTGATGCTGTCTCCGGAAAATTACTTACAGAAGGCTGCCTGCTATTGAGCCAACACTGGACATAAAGGCAGAACCTTGCCATGAGAAGGCATTTTGCCTCATCTGACCATACCTAAGAAATACAGGGATATTTGTCCAACCAGTAATTGATTTAACACCTGCTATGTGCAAGGCATTGCACATGCCAGAGGAAGTTTCTGTCCTAAAAATACCTATATTCTAGTGGAGGACAAGTATTTATATAATCATAATTCAAAGAAGAATAAGAAAATTTCTCCAAGATATACAAACAAAAGGAAGGTGAGAATAAAACTGGAATAGTACAGTGAGGGTCTCTGTAAATCTACTCCCCCATAAAAGCAATGAAAATGCTGATAAAAATTGTCAAAATAAATTTTTTCACAACTCTGGAAATTAACCAAAAGTTTACAAAAATCTTAAAAATGTTTATGCAATAAAAACTACAGCATCTAAGTAAGAAGAGGCTTTTTCATCTCTTTTCAAGATGGTGGTGGAGTATTTGGATGGTGCTCTTACTCCTCCCAGATCCAAACCAGAAAGACAACTTAATTGGGGAACAATCACCCTGAATTACCAACTAAAGACTCTCTAAAGAGGAAACTTTTGACCAAGGACTGGCAGAAGAAAACACCAAGAGACTGGTAGGAAGGGCAGAAATGCAAAAGGGGCTGGCCCACACCCCTGGGTGGTGCCCGAGGTTATGGAGGGATAGCTCAGCTTCAGGAGATTTTCTCTGAGGGTGTGAAGACTAAACCCCAGAACAGGCTCCCCAGATGAGAGCACCAGAGCCAGGAACAGGTGCCCACATACCATCTGGCTGTGAAAAGTGGTAAGGTTTCTCTCTGCCAAGGAGTGGTGGAGCCAGCTAGAGATAAAGGCACCCTCTTAAAGGGCCAATATGCAAAATTTTGTCCACAGTGACTCACCGTGGGCTTCAATAGAAGGAGGGCAGTGCACCAGAGTCACCTGAGAAGAATCCTGGGTTTGTGGCTTTGGGGAGATATATGGGGGACAGCCACCAGGATCCCTGTACTGAGTCATCTTGCAATACTGCAGCAGCCATCTTTCTTGGGTGGAGCAATCTCCTCTGAGAGACATCAGCCTGGGAAAAAGCTATTATCCCATCCCCAGGAATCCCTCTCACCCCTGTGGATCTTAAGCCCTGCTGAGGAATCAGAGGAATTTGCCAGGGCTCAGAAATCTGGGCAGACTCAGGAAGGGTCAGTGACTGGCTTTGGAGTGGGGCCATTCCCCCAACTTCCCCGTGAACCAGACTGGCACTTCCCACTCAGGGAAGACCCAATATGTTTCTATGGATGGGCTTTGGAGGCTCCATCCACCTGACCACTAGGGGTTCTGCCTTGTCAAGGTCAAGGAAAAATCTGGGACAGACTAGGATGTGTGGCTCTGGGGTGAGGGATCACACCCACCATCTTCCCTGAAGTCTAAATGGCACCTCCCCCTCATAGGAAATGTACCGCCTCATCCTCCTGATTCTGCCAGAGGCACTTCCAGTGGCTGAGCTCTTTCAGTAACTAAAACTAACAATGAGACAGCAGATGAAGGTAGTTGAAGGCAGATCCCAGAGTACCTTGAGACGCTTGCTGATGCACCCCTGGGCCCTGTGCTGAAAAAAGCTGGCCTCAAAGGGCAGCTTGGTCCTTCTCATGCACAGCAAAGTCCAGCAGCAGCAGCCACAAACTGTGAATCATTTGTAGCTTCAAGCAGGTTGCCAAGGGCTAAGCATAGATAAGAGTTTGACATTGGTTTACACCAAAGTTCCTCCCAAAAGGTGCAGAACCAAAATACCTATTGGCCAGCTTCAAACAACATTCAAGCAGGATCCAGCAAGCTCCACAAACAGCATATCTAAAGGAAGAGTGCAGCAGGCACTAAATTCTGCTGAGGCGAACTCCAATTTTTTTTGTTTATTCGTTTCTTTATCATTCTTTTATGTCTCTTTTCTTTTTTCTTTTATATAATTTTCTTCTCCTTTTACTTTTTCTACTTTTTCTATCTTTTCTTATTGTTTTCTTTGCATTTTTCTTTTACTCTTTATTATTTTTCCTTTTTTTATTTTCATATTCTTTTCTGTTCTTTTCCTTAATTCTTCACATATTTTTTTTTTCTTTTTTCATTTCTTATTCCTTTTTCTTGTGGTGGTGGTAGTTGGTTTTTTTAATTTTCTATTTTCTTTGTTTTGCAGCACGTGTATAGAAGCTTGCATGCTGTGGTCAGGGTTCAGCCTCACTTCAGCAGCCTGAGAGTATATCCTACCCGTGAACAGGCCAACAGCAACCGAGACCCAATTACAACAGTAGGGCCAACTTAATCCACACAAGGGACATTCCTAGATCACCCAGCTCAGGAGATCAAGGAGATTGCACAACTGGGAATCACAGGACACCTACTACATAAGGTGAACCCACAAAGACTGGGAGTCATAGCGGTTCTGTCTAATACATAGAGACAAATACAAAAAGACAGCCAAAATGGAGAGACAAAAAAAAAAAAACACAAACAGGCCCCAAATGAAAGAACAGGAAGAATCTCCAGAATAAGAGTTAAATGAAATGGAGGCAAGGAATTTGTCATAAATAGAGTTCAAAGTAATGGTTATAAGGATGCTCGAGAAATTTAGTGACAACTACAACAACATGAAAAAGGACATAAAAACGATGAAAAATAACCAGTGGTAAATGAAGAACACAATCAAGAATACACTAGAGGAATAAAAAGTCAGTTGGAAAAAGCACAGGGCTGAATCAGCAATTTGGAAGACAAGGTAGAAAAATCACCCAATCAGAGCAGCAAAAAGAAAAATTAATTAAAGATAATGAATATAGTTTAAAGGATACTATGGACAAGATAAAAAATAACAACATCCACAGTACAGGAAACAAGAGGGAGGAGAAAGTGAGCAAGGGATAGAGTATCTGTTTGAAGAAGTAATGGCTGAAAAAGTCCCTAGCTGATTAAGAAAAAACTCACACTAGTTCATGAAGCACAGAGTCCCAAACAACATGAACCCAAACCGACCCATACAGAGACACATCAGAATTAAAACGGAAAAGATTAAAGACAAAGAGAGAACCTTAAAGGTAGCAAGAGAGAGACAGTTACCTACAAGAGAGTTCCCATTAGGCTGTAAGATGATTTCTCAACAGAAACACTCAGGCCATAAGGGATTGGAATGAAATATTCAAAGTAATGAAAAGGAAGGACATGCAGTCAAGACTACTCTATCCAGCAAAGCTATCATTTAAAGTTGAAGGCAAAATAAAGAGCATCCCAGGCAAAAATAGGTAATAGGCTACATTACCACCAAAGTCTTCAATTCCAAAAGAGTGAAATCATCTTCTTGGATCACAATGGCATGAAACTAGAAATCCACTACAATTTAAAAAACTCAAAAACATTCAAACATATGGAAGCTAAATAGCATGTTATTAAAGAATTAATGGGTTACCAACAAGATTAAGGAAGAGATAAAAAATTACCTGGAAACAAATGAAAAAGAACACACAACCTAAAATCTATGGGACACAGTGAAAGCAATCCTGAGAGGAAAATTCTTAGCATTACAGGCTTATCTCAGGGAACAAGAAATATACCAAATAAATAATCTAACCCTACACCTAAAAGAATAGAAAAACAACAAACAAGTCCAGAAATAGAAGAAAGAAAATAATAAAGATCAGAGCAGAAAAAAATGACATAGAAACTAAAAAAAAAATACAAAAGACAAATGAAAACAAGAGCTGGTTCTTTGAAAAAATAAATAAGATTGATGAATCTTTAACCATACTCATCAAAAAACAAAGAGAGAGGCCCCAAATAAATAAAATCAGAAAGGAATGAGGAGAAGTAACAACTGACATCACAAAAATACAAAGGATGGTAACAAAGTCCTGTGAACAACTATATGCCAACAAATTGGACAACCTGGGAGAAATGGACAAATTCCTAAAAACATACAATTTTCCAAAACTGAGTCAGGAAGAATCAAAAAATCTGAATAGACAGATAACAACTAATGAAATTGAAGCAGTAATCAAA